AGAACCCGCCAGGACAGAGCTGGCAGCAGCAATGCCCGGGAGTGAGCGCTGCCCACCGGCTTCTGGGCTGGTGGCCCACCGGGCGCGCTCCATCCTCGCAGTGCGCTGGCTTTGAAAGCTTCCCAGGCCCCAGGGCTGCCTTGTCTTTCTCTGGATGTTCTCAAACTCCAAACATCCAAGATGCAAGTCTGATTGTCTCCTTCCTGTCCTTTCTCCCAAAGTACCTGAGATTTCCACCCCAGCCTCCTCCCTGGCTGTAAGATTGTCTTCTCTCTCCTACCAGTCATCAGGGACACTGAGGGCAGGGGCTGGATTCTGAGTAGCCACCTGCGCGGTGGCAGCACATCTGTATCGAATGAATGAATGAACAAATGAATGAATGAAATGAATGTCTTGAGGGTTCTGCAGGCAGGTCTTCATGTGGGTGAAAACAACATGCTCTCCCCCGTGAACTGAACAGACTGAAAAATGAACACAAGACCTCACACTATACTTGGTATGAAGTTTAGGTCCTTTTGCAGCAGGACAAGCAAGACATTTGAGGGGCTATGATGTTAAAACCATTTCTGCGCACAGAGGTGGTGCAGTAACGAGGGGCTGGTACCGCAGTTTTGATCAGCCCACTTGTGGGCAGGACCTTGGAGAGCTCAGAAGCCACTTGGGTTCCCATCAGACAAAGCTGATGTACCAGGTCATAGTTTCTTAGTAATTCTTTCATTCATTTAGGCATTCATTTGATAAAGATGTGTCGAGTGTGTGGGATATGCCAGGTGTTGTATTAAGACAAAAAGAGGGTGGGGGCTGCCCTCGAGGGGTTCCCAGTTTGGGGTGAGTACATGAAATTTAGTTCAAATCCATCTTTGCAGCCTTGGATAGTGGTGCTTATACCACATTCTGGGTGTTTATTATGAAGTTTGATTTTATACATTGATATATTTTTTCCTTAAGCCCCCCCTAATGTATCCAGTTAGAACTTAGTCCCCCATGGTTCCCCCACTCTGTTTAGGTCTGTGTAGGGGTGGGAGATGGGGTGGAGCGATTGTTTCACAAGCAATCCCAGGATGCTTTTCTGTCCACAACACTTGTCTGCAGTTCCCTTGAGCACTCTGTCCTGTGACTGATCTAGAAATTGTGATAACAAGTGAATCATAAATGAGGCTCCAAGCCTGGACTGGGCTAGTGTGAGCAGCTGAGCCTGGTTCTGCTGCTTTCTCGGCTGGATCTTGCTGGGAAGGGTATGGTCTCCCTAAAAATTCCCATCAATGAGGGTTGAATTGAGTTGTCTTATCTTTCCAAATGCTACCTCACTGGTAATTTTGTTAACTTAATGAAAGAACCCAAGAGTCCCGCCACACTTGGATAATTATTATTTTTGTGTTTCTTTCAGACATTAATCGCAGGATTTTCAGTTTCTTCTGCACTCAGATCACCTCCCTTACCAGTTTTATTCACAGAGGCAGAGAATATCCTCAGTAGTAAGGACCCCAGAGATTGTGTAACCTAGCCCTCTCCTATTTCAAATGCCATCACTGAGGTCCTGGGTAGGTGGGGGGGGGACTTGCCTGAGCTCCAGGCTGATGATGGAAGAGCTGGGCTGGAACCAGGTCCCTGATACCTTGTAGCAGCACCGTGAGCCCCCATTTATGACCACCTACTATGTGGTAGGTACTGTGCTGGGTTCTTTACAAACTTTTAAAATAACCCTTCACAACAACCTGGGAGAGAAATGAGCAATTTGCTTAAGGTCATTCAGCTAGTTGCCCAGTCAGGTCTTTGTGACTTCAGCACCTTCTCCCTCAATCCCTCCAATTATTAACTATTATCCTTAGTTAGATCCCTGCAGTGTTCAAGGCCTGATTCTTGGTACCATGGGGAACAGGATGCTAGTCTTCAGACTAGTTGGCCAGTATGTTCCTTCTTGTCCCTGACGCTCTGGGTGGCACAGCCCTCAAGTACCTTGCCACTGTCTGGCCTGTGTACCATCCTGGCAGTGAGCGGAGAACACTTGGGTCAGAGTCCCTGGGGCTGTAAAGCCTTTTAAGGGATGAGACTGGCCTAGTGACACTCTGTGCCTCTTGCTTGCAGATCAGATCTGGGTGATATCTATTCCCTTGCTCTGTCTCCCACCACACCTCCCCAGAATCTCAGTGTAAACACTTGACCTGCCATTGTGCATTCATTCATGCCCAGACCGTTTCTGCTCCTGGTGCCCACAGCCCCTGCCCAGGAGGGAGAGTGGGAGGACTTGCACCCCAGCCCCTCCCTCCATCTGCCTGGAGTGGCAGCTGTGTCCATATCTGCCACTGAGCTGTTCCTGGACCTCAGGGGCCTCCGTGCCCTGAAATCAGTGCTTTCCACACTGGTCATTTTCAAGAGGATGGTCCCACAAGGTGGCTGTGCCCCCTTCCCCGGAATTCCCATGCAACAGACAGGCAAACCAGTGCTGTGCTGGTAAATGTTTAACAACCAGCTCTCTGGGGAGAAAAAGCCTTGATTTGTAGCATTTACTCATATCTGTGCTATAAATACTCCTGCCACAGCTGATTTTAAGCCATCAATATGATGTCACTGAACACAGAGTTGGGAAGAGAGTCACAGCAACAGGGCACCACACGAAAATCCCACCATACAGATGCAATCGACAGAAATCACCCCAAGAACACGGCAGTAGTGAAATACATAAAATAATTAGGAAGTGATGAGCTTTGAGTATTTATTACTTTTGTTTTTAATATAATTTCTTTAACTGTAACTTTATATACTTTAATTTTTAATACCGGCTCGTTTAACAACAGGTTTGCAAAAATGCTGAAAATTGACTGACTGGCTCTCCTGAGCCAGTATAAGCCGAAACAAACCGCCCCTAGCACACCCCTGCCCGATCTGGCCAATTTCTTCAGGCCTGATCTCACCTCTCCTGCTGAGACGTGAGGGCCAGGTGAGGGGAGGGCGGATTCCGCAGCTGTGTGTCCGGGGCCCCTTTCATTTCAGTCCAGACTCTGGCACTGGATGTGCAGCCCTGAAGACAGGCCGGTGCACCTGGGGCATGAAACAAGGTCTCTCTGCTCAGGAGAATGTAGGAGACCCTGTGTGTCCAGATAGGTAACCAATGCCCCTCACGCAGCCCGAGGAATTAGGGAGCCTTCCTAAAAACGGGTCACGGGCCCTGGAGACCTGCGCTTTGTAACGGGCACCCTCCTCTCCAGAAGATTCACCAGCCTTTAAAAATGTGCCCCCATTTGTCAGTTCAATTCAACAGATATTTCAGTGCCATCTACTGAGTGCCAGGCATGCCAGGGATGGAGACATGCGCAGAACACAGCCCTCTCCCCACGGAGTTTAGGGTTCAGAAGGAAAGAATATGCTAAGGGCCCAGGTAATTACCACACAGCAGAGTGGGAACTGAGATGTAAGAGAGGCGCGAAGAGCGAAGACAGCTCCGCAGAGGGGACAGGCATGGTCACTGGGTGGGTCAGAAGAGGTTCCACGAAAAGTCGGTATTTGAAACGCTCCTTGAAGGATGGATGAGATCCCAGTGTGGGCAGAGGAGGAGAGCAGGGTCTTCTAGAAAGAGGGATGGCCTGAGGAAAGCACGGGGTGGGGGTGCCGGCGGGAGAGACGCCCACAACAACAAGTGGCCGGTGTGGCTGGGGTGGAAAAGCTGCGGTGTGAAAGTGGACGACGAGACTGGAAAGACATTTTGAAGAGGCTCATGTCAGGCAGGGCCTTGAGCGCCTGGCTTGGTTTGTTTTTAGTTTCATAGGCAATGGGGAGCCCTGGAAGGTTTTGCTTAGGGGAAGGATCTGCAGGAAGTGCTGTGGAGAAGAGGGCACATGTGCAATGAGGACACGCTAAATAGTAACAAGTTAATTAATTAATAAGGCTGCTCATGGGATCCCCAATGGCTCATGGTAATTAATTTTCATGTTAGCTATGGGGCCAACTTGTGCTATTAAGAGGCAAGCAGGGACCTCTCCCTGTCAGCAGTAACCGCAGTGGACTTTAGGACGCACGTGTGTCATTGCCCTGGGGCCAGCTGAGCACTGTCTCCTGGCTTGTGTGGTGTGCAGGTAGGTGGGGCACGCGGGAACATTGAAGGGGTCAAGGAGGAGGTGTGGTGGCACCGCGGGGACCGTTTGACGCCCCATCATGAGACCTGCAATTCCCCTGTTCCTCTCCACACTGACCTGCTACATGACCAACAAAACAGGCCTTTGAAAGGCCCTCCAATGGAACTGCTCAAGGCACACAAATGCAAGAGCACGCAAAAGACACAGACCTGTCCTGGCTGGTTTGGTTCAGTGGTTAGAGTGTCAGCCTAGGGACTGGAGGGTCCAGGGTTCGATTTTGACCAAAGGTGCATACCTTGGATGCAGGCTCGATCCTCGGTGCATGAGGGAGGTAACCAATTGATGTGTCTCTCTCCCATTGATGTTCCTCTCTTTCTCTCTCCCCCTCCCTCCCACTCTCTCTGAAAAGCAATGGAAAAAATATCCTCATTAAAAAAAAAAAAAAGACAAAGACCTAGGTAGCCAAGGGATGCCCCCTGAGTGCTAAAAAAAGTGAACATTTGCACGTGAGAGCACACGCGCCCCTCCCAGCAGCAGGTTCTGCAGGGGTGGGGAATCCAGTGGAAGCTGAGGCCTGTGGGGGAGGGGGCTCTTCTATTGGAATGCAAATACCGTGCTTTCAGAGGCGCTGGGAGCAGGGGAGGAGAGGCAGAGAGCCTGGGGGTGGCGAGAAGCAGCGCGGAACAGTCACATTTCTATAGCTACTTTCTTTGAGGAGCGCAAACGCCGCTGTGGGTGGGACGCTTTGTGACAGAGCCAAGCCCCTTTGAAAACTGCGTTCCAGGACGTGGTGCCCTGGGGTTTCTGGACTTCTGCCCCCTCCAGTCAATATTTATTGAACACTTGGCACGTGTCAGGTGCTGTGTAGATGCTGGGGATAGAGGAGAGCACAGATTAGCAGAGGAAGTGAACTGCGGTGGATCTGTAGGGATGGACGACACACTTGCTGTGAAGCAGAGATACTGGTAGCGGGTGTGCGGTCGGGGAAGGTGGCAGAGAGCCCTGTGACTGAGTGGGAAGTGCCCCGAGGGCGGAGGAGCCAGGCACTCCAGGTGAGGAAATGTATGTGAAGGCTTGGAGGCTTCGAGAGCAGGAGGGGCCCCAGAGATGAGAGTAACACTCCTGGGCACTGGGCACCTGTGGGGAAGTGATGCCAGAGAGGGGAGCCTCAGCGACCTGCTGTGTGTGAGAAAGTCGCTCTGGCGTTGGTGTGGGCGACAGGCCCGCAGGGATGAGACTTGGTCTAGGACAGTAGCCAGGAGATTCCATGCTGTCCAGGAGAGCGTAGAGGAAAGTTTGTAGCAGGGGGATGGAGGGCAGTGGGAAAGCCACCATGAGGGGAGCACAAGCAAGACCTGGGGGGAAATTGGATGTGGAGGACAGCAAGGTGATTCCTGGTTTCTGGTGCATGCTGGTGGAATCTGGGGGATGGGGTGGCCTTAACCAGGACAGGATATCCAGAAGGAGGGGCGGGCTAGTGTCAGTGGTTCTGAGTGTGGAGTCTGTGGGTGAGCCCTTTGTGGGCGGCTGGGTGTGTGGGCCTTAGCCAGCAGGAGACACAGATCTGGGTGAAGTTGGGGATGAAAGTCTGACATAGATGAGGCCCCCTGGAGGGAGTGGGTCTCTGAAAAGAGAAGAGAAACTCTGGGTAACACCAGCACCCAGAAGATGAACAGGGGAAGAGAGCCAGACCTCAGTCTGTCCCCCTCCACACTGAAGTTCTCCTCAAAACCTCACCCAGTGGAACCCCTTCCTGGAGCTCCAACCCTCCCCCGGGTGAATAGGCTTTCCCCCCTTTAATAGCATTAGAGCATTGACGACCAGTGCAGCCCCTGCACACAACCCCTGGGGCCCAATAAATGCTGAGTGAGGGGGTAGGCTCGGGGAAGGAGGGCTGAGCGATGTGGTCCTTTGCAATCCCCTGTATACCCAGCATTGTGCCAGCACACAGTAGGTCCCCAATAAAGTAACTCTTCACACCATCTGACCCTTTATAAAAAAGGTACCTGTACAAAGAAGAAAGCAACAACCCCACCCCCACCCCCTCAATCCACACCTAGAATACGCCAGAGTCAGCATTTGGTGAACTTCAATCCAGGTCTCTTTCCATGTATAGTCAGATAAAAGACGAGATGGATGGGTGATGCCAGGAAGATAGACAAAGCAGTTTTACAAAAATATGATCATACTGAATGAGGGGGCACTTTAGCGTGAAAAGCATGACATTTAATCTTACTAGATAGAATTAACTGAAGAGAAAGATACTGACATAAAATGGAAAAATAGCTAGATTTTAGATAAATGCTAATTCATCACAGGAGATATTAGTTCATAAAAGATGAGAGAGAGAGAATATAATAACCATCAGGGGGTTAGAGTCAGTATGTTGTGCGTGTGTCTAACTACATGTTTCAGTTTTAAATGCCATGGGTGGACTCTGCTTTAGAAATCCCTAGTAAGTGCATTCGCCCACTCCCCAATTTTTGTTGTTTAAACTGGTTTTTACTTTGCCAGGTTTTACAACATTTGTATTTTGTTCTGCAACCAGCCTTCACCTACTTGCCCGTCCTGGTTCTGCACTTAAAAGACTTGAAGCGCACCACCAGTCATTCTAACAGTTTCTGCATTACTGCTTTTTCTTTTGCATCGCCTCTTCATTGGCAGGCTCATGCCACTGAGCACTGCTTTCCTGGAGAGGCTGGGGTGCTTTATCCCCTGAGCTCTCTCATGCTGGGCAAGGACAGACAGCTGCCTTTATACCCGAATGACCACTTGGCCCCTTTGATATCCTTGGGTCATGCTCTTTTCCTTACAGAATGTTGCCGATAGTCTTTCTTCAGTTTTCACTCTGTCGCTTTGTTACCTCTTTGTTGGGGTTTGGCAGCACCCAATGGCGAGCACATCTTTCATTCCCCGCGTTCTGACCCACTTGAGAAATGAGATAAAAGAGTGAAAGCTGATACTGGGGGGTGAGGCTGACACTGAACCCCAGCACGAGTCAGCAGGGCTGGATGGGGGCGGGCTTTCCTCTGGGGGTGCTGTTCAATGAGATACACTAGACTGTTGGGGAAGGTGGGGATGGGAGATGATGCCCGCGGGATACCCAAGGGTGTTTTGTATGCAACAGTCTATGGGAGTCTGAAGCGTGGAGGGAACTCCTGGACTGGAGGCGTAGACCAGGGGCCATCTGCACACAGGTGAAGGTTAAGGCCACAGCACGCACGGCACCCCTTAGGGAGACTCTGTGGTCCAGAGGACAGAGCAGAGGGGGAAAAAAATGAGGAGACTGAGAAGGAACAGGGCAGAGATGTAGGTGAAAACCAGCAGGGCAAGTGAGAGGATATGAAAACTACCAAGAGCAATGTTTCAAGAAGAGAGAGGTCAACCAGTGCTGCAGGGAGGCCACTGGTGACTCCATCAAGAACCATTTAAGTGGCATCACAGGGCAGGGCCAGGATTCAGAGAGTGAGGAGGGAAGGCAAGCCCTTGGCTGTGCTCACTGGGGAAGCTTTGATCTCTGTCTTCACACCAAGTCGGATGCTCATGCTTTTTGGAAGTCACCAGTTCTCCCCTTGTTTTGCCAAAACAAGGCTCTGGCTTTCTATGTGTCTCGCTTATCCTGGGCTTTAAACGTACTGTGTGCTTGTGCTCTGTGTGTCCCCAAAGGGTCCCTGCTCAGTAGTCTCCAGTCTGTCTCACTGGCCTCTGTGGTTAAGACAGGGATGGAGCTCCTTAGGAAGCTCTCAGAGCTCTAGGACCCTGGGCCAACTCCGCAGGCTGCCTGAGTGGCACCTTGTGAGGTCGACTTGCTCTGGGAGAGGCTGCAGCTTTCTAAACCTAGGCCTCAGACACTCAACACATGTCCTTGCTTTGCCCCCACCATCTTCTCGTATTCTTGCTGCCTCTTGATGAAATAACTGCAGAAGCTCAGAGCTACAGGAGACCTCAGCCTCTCCAGCCCAGCCCTGAAGGGGGCCATCGAGGGAGAGCAATTTGCCTGCAGCCTTGCAGAGGAGTCAGGAGGAAGCTCTGGTGTCTGGCCCCTGTGTGAGCCTCTGGTCTGGAGGTGTGGCCATCCTAGAGGGCTGGGGGGGGACGAGGTCCACAATCTCTTTCACTTGTCCTTCCCCCAGGGCCCTGAGCTGGGCAGTGAGCAGTAAGAAGCCTCAGAGGTGACCCATGGGGCCCACTGGCCCCACCCCCAGTTTTTAAGGGCATCTTGTGGAGGTGGCCCTGGAGCCCTTCCCTGACCTCTCCCTCCCTTCCCTCTGCTGTTGCAGCTACAAAGGCCATGTTCCCGGCGTGGCCTTCTCCTTTGGCTCCACCTATGGCACCACCACTCTCAAGTACTTCCAGGACCACCGCAATGCAGCCATGGAGGGCCAGGGTCCCTTTCGCAGAGGCGGCCACTTCCCGACCATCTTCTCCCCAAACCCCAACCTCATGAGGAGCAACTGGGGCCGCTGGCTGTCCAGGCCCAGCTACACCCGTTTCAATCTGGACAGCGACCGCTCCACTGAACTCACCCGCTTCTATCAGGTGGGCAGGGGCCAGGGGAGACCTCTCACCCCACAGTACCTTGTTTGCTATTACAGAGCCCCTGAGCCAGCAGGGCACCCGGTGGGTTTGACTGGGGGCAGCAGGGAGAGTACTCAGGACTCTGCTTCTCTGATCNGCTATTACAGAGCCCCTGAGCCAGCAGGGCACCTGGTGGGTTTGACTGGGGGCAGCAGGGAGAGTACTCAGGACTCTGCTTCTCTGATCTCCCCTCACCCAGGGGCTCTGGTGACTCTTGTCCCTGCTCCGCCAACACTGGGAGAGCTGGAGCCTTTGGGAATGTTCCCACCCTTACCTCTGCCTTGTGGCCTCTCGGCCCTGTGGACCCTTGCTTATCTCCTGCCTAAGTAAAAGGCCGAAATTCACCCCCAGGATGAACCACACATGCACAAACGGCCCACTAAGTCCCCACCCAGCTCCAGCCCCAAGTTGGCTCTCAACTGTACTTGCCCATGGAACCAAGTGCCCACCTGACACCTCCTGTTCCACAGTCCTCTGAGGATGTGCCCCAAGTCCACCTCAGCCCCAGACTGGACCCTAACTGCCCTCAATGGAAGAGACAAATGGAGGAGACCTGCCCACACTCCTGTGTCCTGGTCCTGCCCTCTGGCTTTGGTACAGACATGTCTCAGTGGGCCACAGGCGCTCCGCTACCTCCATGGGGGCCAGGGCTCATTCTCTGCTTGTTCCTGGGAATCTCTCCCTCACTTTCTGGCAAACATCCCTCCAGGCAGATCAAGGACATGGGTGCCCAGGGAGCTCCTGGGAGAGGACCTGGTCGATGCTGTCAGAATCGGAGGTGCTGTGGGACCATCTCAGTGGGCCTGGGAAGGCCTTTGCTCTCCACCGTGGCTGTCATCAGAGCATGTTCTGTCCAGGAGGGAGGGAAAGGGAGAAAGAAATACGGAGAGCCACTGCTGAGCTGGGCCTCACATACCTACCTTGGCTGGCGACTTGTCTCATTTACTCTCCATAGCAAAGCTGAGGTGGCCCATGTCCTTATCCCCATCAGACAGGAGAAGCCAGGCCAGAGAGAGCACCCAGATGGGACTCCTCTGGGGGCATTAGGGGAGACAGACACCACTCCTGCTCAGGGATAGCCAGGCAGGGATTGCAGGTGCCCAAGGTCACTCCTGCACACTAACAACCTGTCACCTCTTCCTTGGTCAACTGCAGCTGGCACAGCAGCATCGAGAGTACTATCGAGACAAGACAGGCCTGGTGCCCCAGGTCCCCTACTTTGTGCTGCCTGTGAAGGAGTGGGAGCGGTACCCCATCCCCACCGACCTGTGAGTGCTTGCCCTCCCTCCATCCATACATTTAACAAAACACATGTCCACGGGGCACCTGCCTTCAGCCCTGCATGCAGTCACCCAGACTGAGAAATGAGTTAAGACCTTGCCCTGAAGAGCCTTTGCCCTGAAGGCTGACAGTTACAGAGCAAGGGGGTCAGGGTTCCAGAAGCCTCAGGATGCCAGAACCTGAATGGGCTGAATCAGGAAAAGCGTTTTCTTAGCCAGGTGCACTGGGAGTTTGGGAGCAAACCCCATAATTTTTGCTAGGCTGAATCTGTAGCCTTCTTCCCTTGCAATGGCAGCTTTGCAGCTACGCTAGTCCAAACTCGGGTGCAGCTGCTCTGAGCAGCAAGGAGCTGCTGCCCTCTGGTGGATGTGGAGGACACTACACACAGCAGGGAGTTGGTACTCCTGACCCCAGCCAGACTTGGAAAATGTTCTCTTAGGGACTTGAAAATAGCTTTCAAAGTCCAACCATCTGTATGACAAAATATGAAAGTTCCTCAATGCCTGCACCTCACTGCTTTTATCTGGAAGAGCTTTTTTCCCCAGGGAAGGCCAGCTCTGCCCTGCAAGATGATTAGGCACATAGTTTCCTCACTTTCCCTCCTGATGCCCAGGCAGGGAGATCAGAAGTCTATGCTGTCAAGGTAGGGGGAATCAGGAGGTCAGTAGACAGATCTTGGGTTTCCAACTCCATGCTAACTCCTTGCTTGCCTCAAGCCCTGAGCCTTGCCATCATCATTATTGATAAAGCAGCAACTCTTTCCATAGAGTTTAATGATTTTTTTAAAAAAAGATTTAATTGCCAATATAGGTTTCTCTCTGCAAGATAGATGAGCCCATTTTTTAATAGGAAAACTGAGGCTTGTGATAGGCTCAGAAATTTGTGCCAGGTGGCAGGTCTTGTTGGAGGTAAAACCTGGAAGAACCCAGGTCTCCTGATGTCAACTCTAGGAGCCTGGGTTAACCATATCCACCCCTCGGGGTGGTTGTAAGTCAATCTCAACCCTGAAGACAGCGTGAGGCTTTTCCTGCGGTCAGAGCTCTGCTTGAAACCACTTTGGGCAAGATCTGCACCTCCCACACTGTGGGGACCCCAGGACACCCCAGCTTTGTTTCTTCTCCAAATTGCTTGGCAGCCTGTGCTGCTGCTGATGGCTTTATGCCCAATACAGAGGGCCAACCAGGTGATTGGGAGTAAGAGGGTCAGTGCCTGCAGTCAGCCCTTTCCTTGATTTCCTCTGTGGCCTGGGGCAAGTTCCTGCCCTTCCATGGGTTTCATTGCCATCATGACCATCACTACATCACCATCATCACCACCACCACCACAAGTACCATCACCATCACCACCATCACCATCATCACGACATCACCATCACCGTCACCATCACCATCATCATCATCACAACAATTACCATCACCATCATCACCAACACATCACAATCATCATCATCACTATCACCATCACCATCACCACCACCATCACCACCATCACCATCACCATCATCACCATCATCATTTCTTAGAACATTTGTTGAGTGTCTTCTCCTTGTGCAATGTTAAGTGCTTTTATATGCATTACATCATTTACTTCTCAAAACAAAGCTAAGAGGGAGGTACCAACATCAGTTCATTTGACATGTGTACACTTCTAGCAGGTGCTGGGCCAGAACCCATCCCAGGTGTGTCTGACATCCATGTCCTTACCCTTAACCACTCTACTGTTGTGCAAGTATAAGTTATGTCAAGTGCAGATGTTAAGCTGATGAGCAGCCAGCAGGGTCAGGGTTGGCATAGGCTGAGAAATGGCCAGGTGGGACTGTGGTTGGGCATTTTCACCCTCCCTCCCTGGCACACTGCATAACACTGACTCCATCCTTGCCCCCAGGCCTCCTCTGAGCCCGAAGAACAAGTGGCACCTTTTCAGAATATCCCCCAAGAACCTGAGGACCTACCAGATGTTCCCGTCGGGGAAGAGGGTCCCCTCGCAGGAGCGGCAGAGGAGAGATTCCTACTTTGAGTTCAGAGCATGATGCCTAAGAGCCGTGGCCTTAACCAGGTTGGCCTTTTGGAATAAAACCTTTAGCCATGACTATCCCACACTCCTCTCCTCTGAGCCCTAGGAGCATTTGGCCACAGCAGGACAGCATCTGACGGTCACATATGTCTTAAGGGCTATGGAAAGCCCAGCCCAAGGGGTTCAGCCAAGAAAAAGTGGCGTCCAGTGACCTGCTCACCCACCTCTTCGCCTGAGGTGAAGAAGGTAGAACTGAGGACTGTAGGGCTCCTGAATCTCAGTGGCAGGTCACTCAGGTACAGAGGTACCTTCCATTTGCTTCCACTGGTGTAATCGAGGAAGCCCCATTATCCTATGTCTGAGAATGAGGGCAAAGTGACTCCAGACAATTACACTGGGTGTCATCTGCAAAGGACTTTCTGTTTGGGCCCTGGCTCAGCATTATTTAGTCCACACGATAACGTGTAAAGGAAGTGATGTTATTTGATAAAGACACTGAGGCTCAGAGATGTAGCCCAAGCTTACACAGCTTGGAAATGATACAGCCAGGATTTGAATCCAGGTCTTTCTGACTCCAAGCCCTGGTTTTTCTACTACATAGCCTGCTTGTGGTCCATGTGGAGACTGAAGGGCAGGGATGACGCAGCCCTTGGGATCCCGAAGGACCCTATGGGCCTGGGAGAAGCAGTGTACCTTCCTGCATTCTGCCCAGACTGGCATGGACAGGCTGGTTTGCCATCTACCCCGGGACTGTTCCTAGAAGGGGACAGGAGGGAGTGACCCAGGACTGAGCCACTCTTCAAGGAATCTCTATGTTTCAGTAACCTCTAGACCAGAAGTGGACACTGGGAATGGGTTCTGAGGTCACATGCCTGAGGTGGCCTGGGAGGGTCAGGGTCTGTAGTGTCTGCTCTCACCAGGCTGTTGCTTCCCACCTCCTGGGAGGCCTCCTGCCTGGGACAGGGGATAGGATGTGGGTGACAGCTCCTCAGTGGACAGGATCTAGGATGGGGACCTCAGGCTAGGTGTGTACTCACACCTCAGGAGTCCTCCAACATTCCAGTGTCTCCTGGATTTGACCAAAGGAGTCCATCCAACAACAAGGTCCTTATTACCCTGCATGGTGAGTCAGGACCTAAAAGCAGGGGGACCACTTCAAGTACAGAGGGTAAAACAGCCCTTCCCATGATGCAGCATTTCAACCCCTCTCCCAAGACAGTATAAATAAGAAAAACCATGTTCCCACCAGATAAGCATCTGACAGCTCTCAGGGACCCCAGAAGGGGCTTCTCCTGTGTCCCAGGGTCCCTGACCAGCTAGACCCCAAAGGGTCCCTGTGGGGGGCAAATTCATTCCAGGGCTTGGCCAAATAGCAAAGCAAATAAACCCTGAATTCTGGTCACACACTGTCACATCCCAAGGGCCTGGGGGAGCCAAGGGGACCAAGATGGATGTCTTCTCCTTGACCAGGGCTGGGAAGCGGGGCGCCAACTGGAATGACCGCTATGAGCATCTCTGTACAGGCTGCGCGGAGAGATGCGAGGAAAGGTGCGGGGCGGGGGCCTGGGTGAAGGGAAGGAAGGACGCCTCTCTTCCTGGTGAATTTCATCCCACTGGGCCTGGGCCCTGCTGTGACAGAGGTTGGGATTTGAAGCCTGCCCTCAAAAAGACTGTCATTCCAGCTTCCGTGGCATCATCGGTGAACTTAAACCCTGGAATGAGCAGCTCTTAATAAATAATACTTCTCTGTGACCCTGCCTTCCAAAAATGGTGGACAGATAGGGCAAAGGAAAGGTTTTTTATTTGCTTTATTAAATAAACAATATTCTGTAAGTGAGGGAGGGACAGGAACAAAGTCATACTTCTAATCGGAGTCCCCTAGAGCCTGGAGGGGGTTGGATTCCAAGTTCCAGTGGTGCCCTCGGAGTCGCCAGGTCAGGCATTTTTCACATCAGCATCCCCAGAAGTGAATCCGAAAGGAGCTGAAAGAATCCTTGAGCCATTTTGAGCCCGCAGGCCCAGTGCACCCCCCTGACTCCTGGGCTCACGGCAATCCTAGAGGCATCCTCCCGTTCCCACCTCTCATGTCCCTTTTCCTGAGCAGTGGCCAATTTGCAGCTCTCCCAAGCCAGCCCAGAGCCTTCTTTAGGCGACTTTTAGCATCACTACACCTCAAAGAATGTTAGAAGCTGTGGTTCTGGAACCCATGGGAAGAATTGGGAGAGAGCCCAAGGAAAACTCCAGGACAGGAGTCTGGCCTCAGTTATGTGGTGGACTATTATGGAAGAAGAGGAATTACCCTTGCTTGGGTGGTCCCCAGTGCAGACCCTCTTACAGGGAGGCTGCCCAAGCCACAGCCCCCGCAGCCCTGCTGGAGGGGAGAGCCCGCTCCTCCATCCAGGTGGTTACAAGACGGGTGGGCACCTGACCCAAGTTGGGCCAATTGGACTCTCTGCAAATTTGGAGCCACAGCTGAAGAACATTACTTAGAAGTCACTGAGGGTCATTCGAAGCCCAGGAGAGGCAAACTTGACCACTGTGGGGAGGCTGTATTTGGCCCCATGTCTGACAAAGTAGAGGTTGCTGGTTTGCATGGGAGCTACGTATGGAGGTGCTAAGGAGAGAGGCAGATGCCGGGCTCTGTGTGATCCCGGTGCTCTCGGAGATCTAGGTGTCTGCTCTTTTTTGATTGGTTTATTAAATCATTTTGAATGGGCATTCTTTCTTGCCATCAAAATCACCTAGACTATGAGACCAAGGGCAGAGTAGGGCCCAGGAGTAGCAGACACAGGCAGAGATGCCAGCTCCACACTGCAGGGTGCTCTTCCAGGCCCTCTCCAGGGACTGCTTTTCCCACAGCCACAGGCTCCAAATAAGATTGTGCTCCAACATGTCGGGGAAACATGAAGATAGCCAATTACCTCCAGGATGTTTGGACCAGATAAGAACCTTAAGCCCCGAAACAAGGTTTGGAAATGCTCGAGTTCTTCTCTGAACTGCACCACCAGCATCTTCACAACCCCCGTACACCCCGATCCTAGTGACCTCTGGAGGTGAGGGGGAGGGCAGAGGACTAGTAGTGGCAAAGACAACTCCCCGGGTCAGCCCTGGAGCCCAGTGGGCATTGGGGCAGCACACAGATGTGCCAGCTGTACAGGGTTGCACCCGAAGTTTGGACCACACACATCATTTGCAAAGCCTGGAATGCGGGTGATCCTCCCCTTGCCTGTTACAACCCCACTCCCTGACTCTTCCTAGGTTATCTAATTTCCCAGAAGCTCCAGTTTTGCTGATTCCGAAAGTCTCTGAAAGTGCCCCGGAGACTCATGACCCCCTTGGGAAGAAGGGGTGCCCCGTTGGCCAAGGGAAGACTGGGGGCCCTTCCTTCCCCCACTGTGCTGGGCATACCCCACCTCCACTCCAGAACGCCTTACTTCATGAAGTCTGGAGCCTTGGCCATCGCGTGTTCAAACTCTGAGAAGGACAGCATGTTGTCATTGTCCAGATCCGACTCGCTCAGGACCTGCCAGGTGCGGGAGGAGCAGAAGCAGAGGAGTCAGGCATGAGAGCGAGATGAGGGCTCAAAGGAGGGGAGAAATCCTGCAGGCAGGGGCTCCCCGCCAGATGCTTCACACACATCCCAGGGTCCCCTGACCCCTGTGAGGCCCTTCAAGGTTTTAGCTTTGCTTCTAGATCCCATCCAGACCCAAAGCACAGGAAGGTTCTCATGGTCTTAGGACAAATGGATCCATGCCCTGTTGGGGTCACCGGGCTGTCCTCATGTCCTGCCACACTTTGGACTGCCACTTGAGGACATCTGGCCATCATGTTACCCTGGGATCATGTGGGGAAGGGGATGCTGTGATGTATTCGTTTGATGCCAAGTTGCTACTGGGCAACCTGCCTACAGCGTTGATGAGAGGGAACCTTGGAGTGGGTAGGTGGCTTGGGCACACTGCTCTGGGGACCCTGGAAGGGAGTCATGGAAGGAAGTTCTGATCGTGGAAGAAGGACAGGAAATCGGGGGGTAGTTGCCTCCAGCCATGTGCCCGTCCCTCAGGCCACCTCCCTGCCTGCCATCTGGGGTTTGGGTGGTGGTCTGTCCCACCCGAGCCCGTGCAGCCCAGGCACACACGTGGTCCGTGAGGTCGGTCAGCAGGTCCTCTGACACATCGTCGCTGTTGAGCAGTCGGAGGACGATCCTCTGCAGGTCCTCCTTGTCGATGAAGCCGTTCTCATTAAAATCTGCAAAGAGGAGGCAGGGCCTCTGCACCGCGGTTCCCTCCCTGGAACACTCACCCACAGAGCCTCTGGGTCTTTATTCAAACGCCAGCTTCTCCCCAGGGCACTACCCAGAGCCTGTCTAAAGTTACACCGCCTGTCCCTGCCCTGCCTTGGTTTCCTCCCAGCACCAAACACCATGTTTCACCTACTAGCTCATTTTTTCCCCTCCAGCAGAATATAAATTCCACAAGGACACAAAGTTTTGTCTTTTGGTCACTACTGTATCCCCAGCTCCTAGAACAGAGCCTGGAATAGAATAGGTGCTCAATGGGCGTTCACTGAGTAGGTGAATGAATGAACAAGGTCACACACTGGTGCATGACAGACAAGACCAAGCCTGGGCAGTCTCTGCTCTTAACCACGCATAACTGTTACCGTAATGAAGTTCCCAGTTTTAACTGTAATGGGGCCATCTGCACCGAGCACTGCATTTCCCAGTCTCCCCTACAGCTAGATGTGGCCGCATGACTGAGCTCTGGCCAATGCGATGCAGGAAGAGGCACAGTCACCTTCTGGGAATGTCTTCAAAGAGAAGGCGTAGCCCTTGTGACAGTGAGGGGACTTTGGGAGTGGAGGAAAAAGCAACAACAGAGGAGGAAACTTGGTACCCAACATTACACAACCACTGTGGGCAACTGCTTCGGGAATTTTCCATGTTAGAGAAAAAACCCATAGCTGCCAAAGATCCTGGGTGCTCTCCTGCATAAGCCCCTTGGGATTCCCACTCGTTTGCCACCAAATTTAATTCTAACTAATTCATTGTCTGAGCCTCAGTTTAATAGCAGTACCTCCTCACAGTTGCTGTG